ATCTAGCCTTCTGATAACCTGCCTCCAACTGTTTGGAAACTCTTGGATGTTTAGTGCTAGTCTGCACAAATGTGGTATATTTGACTTCTAAATGTTAATTCCCTGAATAAAAGAATATTAAAAAAAACAGTCTGAGAATGCTGTTTATTTACATCCATCCAGTTGCCTCATTGTTTGCCCATAAAACCTCTGTAATGACTATGTAACATTTTCTTTTGGCAGCTATTATTTCCATTACAAATATCTAAGAAGCTGCTGGCAAACACTACAGGGTTTGAAGCTATTGTATTTGACATCCTAAGAATCACAATGAGTATTGGATGACAGTAAGGGTTAGGTACTGTACAGGATCTTCTCATGCCTTTTAGTCAGACACTGACACCCTGTCAGTGCAGATGAAAAATTAGAAAGTCTAGATCACTGATCAGCAATTTCCTGTTTCCTGGTTCCTCTCTTTTATCACAAGGAGTTCTTTGATTAAAGATCAAAGTAAAAAAGAAACAATCTTATTATCATTCCGGCATTGTATGTTTTTCATTAAAATATAACTTCAAACATAAGGGGAAGTGTTCAAAAAAGTATTTTCTGAACTTTGAAAACAGGAGAAACAAAAAAAAAAGGACTCAATCTTTTATATAAAGCAACTGCTGTATGTTTTAATCTGTTTAGAAATTTTAATGATATTTTTAATTTAAATCTCTTGATCTAACAGGCTGGATATATATATATATATATATATATATATATTTTTTTTTTTTTTTCCAATTTCTTAAAATAGAAAGGTTAATAATAAACATGATTCTAACTGAAAACTGAAGTCTGCATACATGCTTCTTTTCATGTATATTTTATAGACCATTCAAAACAATGACCATTAATTCCAGGTCCTGCCACCAAACAAATTTACCTTGAAAGAAAGACACAAGAGGCCAAGAGAAGTCTTTAGAAAGCATGTCATAAGGGAAGTTATGGGATATTTTGGTAATGCTAATATGAAAGTTGCACACTTAAAAAAATAACATTCAAAGGAAAAACTTTTGCTCATAACAGAAAAAAAGGAAGAAAAAAAAGCCCTGACTGAGATTTCCACAGAGGACATGGAGATCTCTCGTAAATATTTAGACACCAGAACAGACATGTTTGAGCAAACCAAATACACCATTCCAAAGAAAAAGAACCTCAAACCAGCCATGAAGCAGTGAGATGAAGGAGTCTTGGCTTCTAGAGGCTTTGCTGCACTGGGCCTGGCACACTCAGTATAATGAATTCTCCCATGAATTCTACCTGTTATCAGAAGGTTCTTGGAAAATATGGAACCTTCTGTTAATAAATATAATCTAAACTGGATTCTGACGCATTACAATATCCAATGGCTTAGAATTAAAAGTCTTATGGTGTGATCTGAAACAACCTTTACAAAGAAAAAGGCAATTTAAACATCTTGCCACTGATAATGTGTGTAAAATGGAGGAAATCTCCTAACCGTTGTGATAAACTGGTAGAGGGAGACCGGCCCCGGTCTTTCGCTGCCCACTCCCAGCAATGGTGCTCTCTGCACAGGTAGATTAAAAAGGAAGTATCGTCCATAATCCAGAAACACCTCTGGATGAACATTAGTGATCTACTTTTTCCAGTTCTTCTGTAGCAAGTTCAAAATTGATGAATTACCGCGGATACCACGAACAGCTTGAATACATCTTTCCACAAATAAGTTTACAATATTATAACGTTAAATGAGATGGATATCATTGTTGAAACGAAGACATGAAATTGATCCAAGAAACCTTACATTGATGGTCCATCCAAGCGCATATATATTTAAACAAAATGTATTTATTATTATGTTTTTCTTACAGGAACATTACAAGAGCCAGAACTACACTCACCGGCCACTTTATTAGGCACACCTGTACAACTGCTCGTTGGAATCATCTCAGACTGGTTTCTTGAACATGACAATGAGTTCACTGTACTCAAATGGCCTCCACAGTCACCAGATCTC